CCAAAAATGGACTTTGGTGGCTCGGGATAAGAGACTTGTAGCGTCTTGTAGTTTTTGAACATGACCGGAGATGCTACCGCGTCTCCTTATTAAAATTGGAAAATTAAAATTAATTCGAATTTAAAAAAAACTCAATCTTTTATGTATCAAACGTATATATATGTACAGTCTTTAGGTGTCACGAACCAATTAGAGGGCCGCATTCGCATCTTAAGACATTACTTAAGACAGTCTTCAAATAAGAACTGACTATATGAATACCTAACACAACCTAGTACGAACCAAGCATAACTTCGTATAAATTTATAAATATTAAATAATAATTTTTTACATTCTGTCTCATTTTTAAAAAAAGAGTACAATAAGTGAAAAGTAAGAGTACACTGTTCTCCGACATCGAAAAGAGTACATTTACTCTTTAAAGAGTACGGTTGATAACCCTACGCGAGGATAAACGATATCCGCGGAATCTACAGACGGATCAAGGAAAGGAATTCTACAACGCCATTGTGCAGAAACTTTTGCAGAAATACAACGTAAATCACTATTCGACGTATTCGGTAATGAAAGCGTCTGTAGTGGAACGATTCAACCGTACTTTCAAAAATAACATGTGGAAAGTATTCACGTTGAACGGCACGTACAAATGGATCGACGAATTGTCGCGTCTACTGTCAGATTATAATCGCCGTAGACATCGAACCATTGGAATGCGTCCGATAGACGTCACACTTCCCGTTGCAAAACTTTTCTTGTCGACGGTGTACAGTCACGTGAAAATTGCTCCCCCGACGAAATTCAAGATAAATGATCCAGTACGTGTTAGTAAATTTAAGACGATTTTTGAAAAAGGATACACACCAAATTGGTCCACCGAGATTTTCCATATCGCCAAAGTGCAACGTACGAATTCTGCAACGTATCTGCTGAGAGATTATCGAGGAAAGCTGATAGCCGGTGGTTTTTACGAATACGAACTGCAACGAGTGTCCAATCCGGACGTCTATCTTGTGGAGAAAGTATTACGTAAACGAGGCAACGAAGTATACGTGAAATGGTTAGGAATGGACAACTCACATAATTCGTGGATAAATGAAGCTGATATTGTGTAAAGGGATGTATTTATTCCATAATAAAACTATATTAATACACATTACATGAGTAATTGTTTGTAATATATCCAATAATAGCATATAACATTCGTCCGATTGAACGCATCTTGCCAAAAGATATAATAGCATATAATCGCGCAATAAAAACGCATCTTATTATAAGGTTATTTTATTGTGTATCCAAGATTTGTGGTATTTTATAATGTCCCCAAGGTAGAGTAGCAATTGAATCAGGTAAGACGTATCGTTTATTATCGTATGGACTGAGAGCAAGTTTTGTTTCGAGAACCGTATACATCTCATGCAACGACGATTGAATGCGCGATTGACGCCTCGACTGTTCGTACGCGTCATGCAAACATTTCACATAATAGTCAAACGCTATCGTTTTCGCGACAACACTTTCCTTGACATCCTTTATTTTTTTTACGTCATTACTACCGACAACTCTCAATGCGTACATCTTCGCTCTGAGACCAATGAATTCAGTCATTACCCTACCGTTATTTTCATCTCTCATTAAACCAGGTATTTTATTATTAAGGCATGGAATATCGTATACATTATCCTCGGAATAATCGCTCGTGTCAAATTTCGTGATATTACACTTGATATCCTCATATACATTGTCGCACTTCAAAAAATATATCAAACTGTCCGTGTCCGTGTATAGGATCGTGCATCTATCGTCATACAACGGCATTACATGATGAATTTCATTACGAGTACATACTCGTAATGAAATTCATACAAACGAATCTTGGATATTTCAAGAATACACATACCAACGTATATCGGTTTGTTCAACGTTACTTCGAGTTTACGCAACTCAACGGCTACCAGATTTTCGGAAAAGATACTTCTACTGCAAAAATTCGGTTTCGCTATCATTGCTTCTAAACCGTATCTTCCATCCCAGTGTGTTATAAGTCGAACGTCTTTATAATCGCGTACGTTCTCCATTGTTTTTCCGAATACCGCATTATTCATCAATTTGTAAAGATTTCTCTCGAAATCGTTATTCGAAGACATTCTAAATCGCGTATTTAGCTCTATATATCCTCGAAGCTATTCAGATTGTGCAAATTTTAATATCCTATGAATTTTCGTCACGACCAAACCATGTCGAATGCATTGCTGCAAATTGCGATAATGAATGACGTAACGCTCCTTATCGTACAATGTTGCCAAAAGTTTTTCGTAACGTTTTCCTCCAGGTGGTCGTTCTCTCGTAGGACAGAACGGAAGATTGACATGAGAGTTATGCAAGATTTGTGGATACGCAAGGTCGATCTCTAAAATGTAACACATCCTCTGTTGGTGTGGCTCCCATTTTACATGAATTGCTTAATCAAGCTGAATCTAATCTAATCTACCTGATTGTAACCATTGGCATGGAATTTAGCGAAATGTATATTACGAACACAAATATTGATATATGCTTAATTATTTGTTTTTACTTCAAAGGAATTGATGCCTGACAATCTCTGAAGGACATGTTAGCCAGGAAGATGAAACGAAATGGCCATTACTCACCAGAACTACGGAGTTTTGCATTAACTCTGCATTTTTATTCGCCAAAAGCGTATAATTACGTACTGAAGACATGGAATAATCTTCTGCCAAACCCTTCCACGATCAGAAATTGGTGCAGAGTCGTCGACGGAGCTCCAGGTTTCACAAAAGAAGCATTAGATGCTATAAGAATACGTGCTGAAGAACGCGAGAAGTCGGGGAAGGCTCCTGTTACTGTAAAATTGGTTTCGGACGACATGTCTATTCGTAAAGAACTTGTATATGATAAGAAACGATTAATTGGTGGCGTAGATCTTGGAACTCGTGGCAATGACGATGATTTCGACAATGATAATGATAATAATGAGGATATCGAGCCAGCCAGTAATGCGTTAATGTTCATGGCGGTATCTTTAAATGAATATTGGAAAGTACCAATAGGATATTTTTTATTTCGGACGTTGAACGACGATGAGCGGGCTAATTTAATAACTGAGGCACTGCGAGCTTTGCACAATGCTAAGTGTAAAGTCTATTCGATAACATTCGATGGACTATCAGCGAATTTCACCATGTGCACTATTTTGGGTGCAAACTTCGAGTATGGGAATAATTTTAAGCCGTATTTTATAAATCAAGCAACAGGCGAAAAATGTTTTATATTTATCGATCTTTGTCACGCAATTAAATTAGTACGCAATACATTTGGCGATTTGAAAGTTTTAACAACAACAACGAGCGAACAAATTAAGTGGGAATATATTGTTAAACTGAGTGGTGGCCGTAGCGCACTGGCAAAGTATTTGCCTCCCATGCCAAAGATCCCGAGTTCAAATCCAGCTAGAATTCCTAAATAAAAATAATAACAAAAACGGCCATCACCGGTTGCTCCGGCCGACCGACAGTCAGTATAACTCTGACGGCTGGATAGGATTCTGTGGGCCAATCACCCGCAAACCCGAAACAAGCTGATTCGAGAAACGAATACGAGTCTCGGATATCGGACGGATACAATGGAAATGAACCTTAGCTATCAAAAAGGTATACGAATTGGCACATGGAACATCCGGACATTGGCACAGGCATCCCGTTTGGCACAACTAAGCAAAGAAATGACACGCTGTAAAATTAAGATCCTAGGTCTCAGCGAAGTGCGGTGGAAGAACAGCGGGGACATTACAACGTCAGACAATCACTACATGATATACTCGGGCAATTCAACCACCCACATTAATGGAGTTGGAATAGTTATATCCACTAAAATTAAAAAATCATTAATGGAGTGGAATCCAGTCTCCGACCGATTAATAACCGCTCGTTTCCGAGCCAAAAATCGCAATATAACAATCATTCAATGCTATGCACCAACGGAAATAGCAGACGACTGCGAAAAAGATCATTTCTACAACCAACTGCAGTCCACAATTGCCTCAGCGCACAAAAGAGACATCAAACTTGTCATGGGTGACTTTAACGGGAAAATCAGCAATAATAATAACAACCTCGATGAAATAATGGGTCGCCATGGACTTGGAGAAGCACGCAATAACAACGGCGAGCGATTAATTGATCTCTGCATGGCCAACCGACTTTTCATCGGCAGCACGCGATTCCCGCACAAGGACATTCATAAATATACCTGGCAAGCACCAGACGGAGTAACACGTAACCAGATCGACCACGTGCTAATTGACAAGAAACACCTGAAGTCTCTTCTAGATGTTCGAACAATGCGTAGTGCGGACATGTATAGCGACCATAAGCTAGTCGTGGCAAAAATACGCATAAGAACAATGAATATAATAACAACAAGAACAAAACAAAAGAAATTTAATATCGAAAAATTCAAGAATAAAGGCGAACGTCGGAACTTCTGTGAAACTGTAACAGCCAAAGTTAATAATATCAGTCCTACAATAAGTGCGAAGGAAAAATGGGAATTAGTGCAAAAAGCATACGTAGAATCCGCAAATGAAGTCATCGGGATCAAAAACAGTACCCGTAAAATGTGGATCACGAATGAAACCTGGGAATTAATCGAACAAAGAAGAACATTAAATCAACAACTAAACCAGGTCCGAAGTGATGTAACCCTTGCAAGATATAACAACATAGAAAAACAAATTAAGAAAATGGCAAGAAGAGATCGTCGTAAATTCGAAGAAAACATCATCAATGACGCTGAAGTGGCGGCGGAACAAAAGGACGTGCGCAAAACATACCAATGTATCAGGAGGATCACCGGCCATTTTACAAGCATTCCACAAATTAAGAACAGCGATGGCCATATTCTCACTACGGAACAACAACAACTTAATCGATGGGTAGAATTCTTTAAACACGACGACCCAACAATAGATAACTGCGACATAGACTATACAACATCATCTCGTATCAGCACAAAGTCACCATCAGTTGCTGAAATCAGATTAGCAATAAAGAAACTCAAGAACAACAAAGCCGCAGGTAGTGACGGCATCGCACCGGAATTACTTAAAACTGATCCATCATTTGCGGCGGAAACACTTGCCCCCATTATAACAGAAGTATGGGACACAGGCAGCATCCCGGCGAAATGGAAACAAGGAATAATCATCACAATTCCAAAGAAAGGTGATCTCCGTGAATGTAAGAACTGGCGAGGAATAACCCTACTGAATACAATTACGAAGATTCTAGCGTCAATCATCCGCGAGAGAATGACAGCGCACGTCAATGAAAAATTGAGAAAAGAACAAGCAGGATTCCGCCCGGGACACAGCTGCATAGATCATATAAGCAGCCTTCGAATTATAGTGGAGCAAGCAGCAGAATTCAACTCACCACTGTATCTGACTTTCGTGGACTTTGAAAGAGCATTTGACACCGTGACTTGGCCGGCTATATGGAAAACACTAGAAAAATTTGGAATACCAGCCCAAATAACAAGATTAATAAAAGAATTATATGATAACGCGGAATGCGGTGTTCTCTTCAAAGGAAAACTGAGCCCCTCCTTCCAAATCAGAAGAGGTGTACGCCAAGGCTGCATTCTATCACCGATGCTATTCTTAATGGTACTGGATACGGTGATGGAAAAATGCAATCAAGAAACAACAGGCGGAATACAGTGGCTGCTGACTCGCCGACTTGACGATCTCGACTATGCGGACGACATCGTGTTACTATCTCATACACACAAAGATGCACAGGGGAGAATTTCAGCACTTCAAAGATACGCTGCAGAAGTTGGACTAAAGATCAATACCAACAAAACAAAAATAATGCGTATTGGAACAAACATAAGCACACCTATTTCCATTGAAGGACGCACAATCGAAGAAGTCAACGACTTTGTATACCTTGGTTGCGTAATTGCCAAAGACGGAGGAACCAACATCGATGTTAGCAAAAGAATAAACAAGGCCCGACAAGCCTTCTTCAGACTTAATAAAATATGGAGAAGCTCAAAGATGTCTAACATACATAAGCTTCGTTTATTCAATGCTTGCATCAAATCTGTGCTGCTATACGGTTGCGAGACCTGGAAAAACACAGATGGACTGATAAACAAACTTCAGGTCTTCGTGAACAAATGTCTGCGACGAATTCTGAGACTGTTCTGGCCAAACTTACCAACAAATGAAGAACTACTGCGCGCTTCCAAGCAAGAAAAAATAGGCACTGAAATCCGCCGCAGAAAATGGAAATGGATCGGCCATACTCTAAGAAAAGATCCGCATAACATAGCTCGCATGGCTATGGAATACAATCCGCAAGGAAAGCGCAAAAGAGGGAGACCTGCCATGTCTTGGAGGAGAACAATAGATAATGAAATTAAATCTATTGGAAAATGCTGGGCAGAAATAAAAACGATTGCCCAAAATAGAGTAAGATGGAGGAGACTCGTAGACGTTCTATGCTCCACATAAAGGAGATAAAAGGAGTGATGATGATGATGATATTGTTAAACTGCACGCGTTTCAAACTGAAAATGGCCTAACAGCAGCTAATAAATTAAAAAAGAAACATATTGACTTCAAGGACAATCGTATGAATGTGAAATTGGCGATGCAGACGCTTAGCAAAGGCGTTTACAGTTCTCTTAATTTTATGACAAATATAGATGATACTGTAAGACGTGAATTTGAATGTTGCTTGCCTACTGCCAACTTCTGCTTGCAGTTTAATAATATGACCGACGTGTTAAATTGTAAGAATGTATTTCCGAAAGATAAATATGATCAGCCTTTGACCGAAGACAGCTATGCGGAATTAAAAGCTTCCACAGAAGAATTTGAAGCATATATTAATATACTGTGCGATAGAAAAGGCAAACCGATTCTTACATGTGCGAGAAAAACAGGTTTTCTAGGAATAATTATATGTATTAGAAATATGTTTGACTTGTTCGACGAAATCAAGTTATTGGGGCAAAAGTATCTTCTAACGTATAAATTGTCACAAGATTTTCTAGAAACGTTTTTCGGCGCGATAAGAGCTCGTGGAGGATTCAATAACAATCCTAATGCAAATCA